ATTCAGCAATGAAAGTAAATATTTCACAACTCATGCCTTCATATAACATGATGGTAGAAAATACTAGATCAAGAATCCTTAAATTTCCAATGCTATAGTAAAAAGAAAAATTTTTAAATTTGACTCATCATTTATAAAACCAATTCCAAAATTTCCCCAAAATTTCTGGATCCATATGTACTCAGGATCAGTAAGCAACAGTCCATCTAAATTTCATTTCTACAAATTGCTTTAAGTTCTTTCCTAATTGGAAGTTAACACAAATATTGCAATAGCAATGTAACACCAACAAGTAGAAGAATTCAAATAATTTAGCACTTATATTTAAAGAATTTTCTAATTTACATTGGCCTCCTAATATATTATCTGTATTTGTTCATAATCCCTGACTTAAACTTACAACATATGTATTATTATTTCAATATTAAATACGGAAAATATATTTTTAAAGAAATAAGGTCTATAGGATATTGCCAGACAGTTTGAAAGAAACAGAACTATCATTTAAGCAAAATCTTTTTAGTTTCAGATCCTAAACTCCACCCGTATCACGTATCACAGTCAGTTTTGGCTTTTTTAGCCCAAGTTACAGTCACAGAAAGCCCTTTATATATTTTTCCCTCCCCATGATGGCCCTTTAATGTGTACCACCGCTATCAACCACCTTGTCTTCTATGCAAATTAATTTTTTATCTTTGTCCCCAACACAATCGCAACCTAGTCAGCTAAGAAGGCTTTGATCATCTAACTTACTATTCTTCCTATGAAGAGGGTAACGTTAGTAAAATATTCCTTCTCATATCAGCTAGTAGTTTTGCACAATAATTGTGAAATTCATGGAAGTCATGCGCATGAGAATAAATATGGTTCCAAGAATCTCTGAACTTCAAGAGTCTCTGAAAGACAGAAAATGTCTGGCTTAGGTCAATCATTTTGATTTTGTTTAGCTTATCCTTTCCATTCCGTCAGGATAGCACAGGCACAGGAAAGTCCTGAGAAAAACTTTAGTAGCTGATTGTTATTGTTATTATTATTATTATTATATTTACCATATAACAGTCATTCTATCTTCACCTGTTTCTTCTGAGAGCCACTAATATGTACTTTTTTTTAGTGCTTGGAAGATATCATCATGGTAAGGCAAAAGTTTTCTCACAAGTACCTCCAGTTGCGGGAAGGGATAAAATACTGCAAACCTGAGAGTGTCACAGTACAGGGTGGAATCAGTGGCCTTATTCTATTTTGAGGATTCAAAGAAGGGAAAGGAGCATGTAAAGTCAGGACTTTGAGATTGAACTACAAATTGTTTTATTAAATTGACCCTTATATTTTTTAAAAGATTCCAATTGATAATTGCTTGTGTACATTATCTTATCCTGCAACAGTTCTCAAACGTCAAATAAGTTGGGTTAGATTAAATTGGAGAGTTTTATAGAAATCATGAGGCATTCTCCCATACCTAGCTATGCAGAGTCCCCAGGGTCAGCACTTAGAATCTATGGTTTTATCTAATTCTCCACAGGTACTATGTAAAGTCAGGGTTAGAAGCCGCTGCTGTGAACCCCTCTTTCAGGGTGGATTCATAGGAACCGTGTGGAGAGCTTCAGTTAACTTCCTGACCACATTAACTTGTGACTGCTTTGAAGAGCAATTCAGTTGTTGTACATATAACTGCCAGGCAGAGTGCAGCCAAACATGAGGTGCTCGATCCATCTGTGAAGTCTCTTCTTTCAATTTCTAAGCACACTGCTAAGTAAATATTTGCCAGAAAATATGAGAAAAAGGATAATTATATGCATTAATGGAATGTAACAGGTATTTTTGAATGGTGGTCAGAACATGACATAGGAAAATGGGGTAGAGGATGGGCGTAAAAGAGGAGGGAAAAGGATAAAGAAAATAGTGAAATGTCACCATACTGCCAAGTGATCTAGAAAATCCAGTTAGTATGCCCTTCCTAGCTATGAGCCCTTAATATCTGAACCTTCCCTTTTCTGCCCTCAAAATTCTGTCACATTGCCTCTCTTTCTCCAAATTAATTTCGTTACTTTAATCCAATGACATTTCCATTCTTATTTTTAAATATCTCTTTGAATGTGTTTGTTAAGTACTTAGGAAGGAGCATGACATAGTGTCACAGGCATGGGCTTTGTATCCAAAATCCTCATTCTGATACTTTCTAAGTGGCTTACTAAGTGGTTTTGTGACTCACATGAGCCTTACTCTTGTCTTCATTATAACTACATCAATGGTTACTTGCTTTCTGGATACCCATGAAGATCAAATAAAATAATGTATGCAAATTGTCTAGCACAAGCTGTATTTGAGACATGCTGGTGAAAATTTAAAAAACTGAAAAAGTTTTAAAAATTTGTTAGACACTGTGCTGAGAACAAAGTTTAGAGTATCCTTTTCTCTTTTCTTTCCTAGAAAGATAACTATATTTGATGTACAGTTTATTTCTCTGGGACAAAGTCAAAACAATTAATGCTCACCTACAGACACCATCTAAAAACCGTTTTTTGTCTAACACATCATAATATCACTTTCAAAACTTATGAGTCTGAATCATTAATACTCAGTATTTGTATAGGTATTCTATTAAAGGTTTTGCCAGTCAAATACCTTTGTGAAATCACCAGTTAGTTAAAGTTGCTTTGGGAGAGGATCTTAAAATTCTGATATACATCATAAACATCTAAGACGAAAAAAAAAACCCTGCAGAAATTTCCAGCTTAATTTGGCTGTGAGAAAACATATTTTGGAGAAAAGCAGCAGTAGGAAACATGTTAACTTCTCAGAGATACATGATGCTCCATGAATTCATTTTACAACATTCTTTAGGGTTATTTTAACCTAGAAGAAAGAGAAGAGGTGACATCAGCAATACGTTAAAATATAAGCAAGCAAGAAAGAATGATGATGGAGCAAATGTTAGGATCATAGGAAACAGAAATGGGACATTTAATTTTTATGAAAGAATAATTTCATACACAAAAAATTACTGGAATGATACAAGACTATTAAAGTGACTGCAGGATTGGTGGGGTATCATGGAAGGAAAATGACCAATAATGATTCTTGGAGGATATAAATAGCATAAGTTGAAATTATATTCAAGGCCTTTGGAAATAGGGACATAATTTATGATGTTCACAAAAGAAATTATTTTCAAATAAAAGTCGGTGTCCACTCTTTATAGTTCATTGAGTAGTGAATGAAACTGGAGGAGAAGGAAATAATGTAAAATTATGAAACCTCTTGCTTTTTTCAAATTAGGTGAAGCTTGAGTCAAGAATAGGGGGAAAAATACTGAAGAGGTTGAGAAGGTGAAAATATAAGAGACAGAGATGGAGATGGGAAGAGAAAAATAATAAAGAGCGGTACATACAGACTTGAAAGGAGATGGGATCCTAAGCAGAGGTAGAAATATGAGCTTCAGGCAGGAGTAAAAACACCTAAACAACTAAGCAAGACAAGAGTAACAAAGATGAAATATCACTTGCATGATCATCTTAATTTCCAAGGGAGACGAGAAAGTACTGAGAGTAAAAGAATATAAGATGCAAGATGAGAAAAGTGTAAGTTACCTTATTTACTGAAGCAAACATGAAAAAAAACCTAACTAAAGGAGACAAGAAAGGGTTTTCATGTAGCTTAGAAGCCCCACCTGAGGAGGCTTCAATTGGCATAATTCTGTAACTTTTCTCCAATAACTCAGCAACCAGAGCTGTTGGAAGAGAAGCGGTTGCAGAGGTCTAGGTCTGAATTTTGGGCAGATATAATTACAGTAGACGTTAGAGTCAGTGAGAGAAAAATGTACAAATATGGCGAGGGATCTATTTTGAAAAGCTGAACAAGTGAAGCTGTTAGGGAATAAATAGTTTTTAGGAAAAGGAATGAACTAGGGGTATAGAACTTGTGACCTGAGAACAGAGGTGACAAGCAAAATTCTTGAGAGGGCTGGAAAAATGTGAGATGTGGTCTAACAGGGTCTTAGAGTTTAATACTTCAATGCTGGATCATTGTGTATGCTAAGAGATTGAGGATCTACCTGCGGGGAAAAGAGCAGAAGATGAGTGGCCGTGAACAGCAGTTGAAGCCAATCAGAAATTTAAAGTCAGACATTTTTGTCACATCATGTGAAATAGAAAAAATGCTAATGGTGCATAGATCATAGATTTACTTTATTTTATTGCAGCTTGGCACTATTTCATTATTATTGTTTTGCTCTTTCTATACAAGTCTTAAAAATAGCTCCTGTCACATCTTCATGAAATATTCCACATAAAATATTCAAATGTAAGTTCTTTACACGGTAACTAAAGTCAACATTTGATTGCTACTCCTGCTAACCAGACTTCTTACAATTTCTTCATTATCTCTTCTGCTGTTTTCAACAATCAATTGTAAAAATCTAATGGAGAGGCCATCTCAACCATATCAATTATATGCACCATGAGTCTGGATTTCCTGCATTTAATACAGTCTACCCTAATTGCAATGATGCTTTTCTGATGAAAGAGATATAGGACTTGATTTAGTGGCTTCCTTCACTAGGTTTGGTACTTTTAAGAGAGTTTTGTGCAAATTCTACCTCCATGAAATGTAGATGTTATTATTATTTTAATTCCCAAGCTATAATAGAACTTCCTTAAGAAAAGTAACAATGTGTGATTTATCTCTGCATACCAAATATCTAGACATATGCCTGATATTTTATTGGTCTTTGATAAAAGTTTATTTAATTATATAATAGAAATGAATGAAATAAATGTAATAAATCTGATTAGCTTGATTGAAATTAAAACAAATAGGTACTTCAGATTTCAAAAAAGTCATGCCCTTATGTCGTGATGGACTTGGTGATTAGAAAAGATTAAATATATTTTTCTATAATTCTCTAGAATTTAATAACATTGGACAAGAAGACCTGGAGCCTCTCACTGAATGAGACATCTAGTCTATGATACGTGTAGCTGTGAAAGTGCCACAGAAGCATGGTCCCTCCTAATGACACAGAATTCCGTCCCTACTGTTTTCTCCTCCTGGGAATTCCAGGGCTAGAAGATGTGCATATGTGGATTGGCTTTCCATTTTGTGTTGTATATTTGACTGCCCTATTGGGAAATATTACAATTCTTTTTGTGATTCAGATTGAACATAGTCTCCATCATCCCATGTTCTACTTCCTGGCCATTCTGTCATCTATTGACTTGGGCCTGTCCACATCCACCATTCCTAAGATGCTTGCCATCTTCTGGTTCAACCTGAGAGAAATCACTTTTGAGGGCTGCTATCAATTATAGCATTGATCATCCTCCTGAGACCCTTGGCCATTGCAATCCCCTTTGTTCTGCTCATCCTCAGGTTATCCTTCTGTGGACACCACATCATCCCCCACACATATTGTGAGCACATGGGCATTGCCCGCCTGTCCTGTGCCAGCATAAAGGTCAACATCATCTATGGATTATGTGCCATTTCTATCCTGGTGTTTGACATCATAGCCATCATCATCTCCTATGTCCAGATCCTCCATGCAGTCTTCCACCTACCTTCCAAGGATGCCCGACTGAAGGCACTCAGCACTTGTGGCTCCCATGTCTGTGTCATGTTGGCTTTCTATACTCCAGCATTTTTCTCCTTCATGACCCACCGCTTTGGCCAAAATGTGCCTCAATACATCCATATTCTTCTTGCCAACTTTTATGTTGTCATCCCACCTGCTCTCAACCCTGTTATTTATGGGGTGAGAACTAAGCAGATAAGAGAAAGGATAATTAGAACTTTCAAGAATAAACTATGAAATTTCGTCTTCAGAGATCAAGAGACTTGAGTTGGAGAAAATGGAACTTATTCCTTACTCTCAAGATTGCAGCGATGATGTCTGGGGATACGATATCCTACGTGATGATTTATAAAGACTTTCCTCCATCTTAGAAAAAATAAGCCAAGAAGAACAATAAAAAATATTTAATATGAGCATAGTTCCAATCACAAATCACAAATGTCAGCAATTATATGATAAATGAAATAACATTTGCAGGAATAAGCACAATAAGTTGATAAAAATTGACTGACATCGAAATAACAACAAAAAATAGATACATATTATGAGCCAGGCACAGTTTTTCATAACTTTCTAAGTATTTTCTCTTTAAATTCTTATAACTACAATAAGAAGGAGCTGGGCTTATTTTTCCCTTTTGTAGCTGAGGAAACTGAGGCAATAAAAATATTAATATTAGTACTATATTGGAGTATCATTTTCAAAATTAGAATAGAAACTGTCTTTTCCCAGCTGAATAAACAAAAATATATAACATGAACATATTCAAAACCTATAGAACAAAAATAAGTACATAAATTTTACATTTAAAGAGCTACAAAGGACCATTAGTAAGAAAAATTGGCAGCTTATATGGCATACGGATGGGAAGAAACACTCCACAAGTCCATATGATTTAAAAATCATATAAACAGTATGAAACGAGATGAAATATGACCACTAATAATGGAATGTAACATTGCTTACTACTTACAATGTTCTAGGAACTACCTTTGGTTTTTTAGGTAGTTCACATTTTATAATGAGTGAGAGATTTAGAAGTTAAGTAACTTGTACTTAGTCACACAACTATTACCTAACACAGAATTTTAAATGAGTTATTCAGGTTTAGGTAAGTTTCTTTACCTCTCTGCTATGATTTACTATAGAAACAGACTATGATGCAGGTGATCAAAGATTAGAAAACATTTAGGTGTCAGCATGTTATTATATAATTTAAAATGGAATTACATAAAGCAGTGACTATAACTACTAATTCAGAAATGTGAATGAATGATGAGAATATATATGTATACATAGTATATATGTGTAGTATATATATCCTATATATATATCCGAAATATGAACAGACCATGAATAAAATAATTAGCAAAAATTAATGGATATAAAAGATGGAAAGGAAGATGAACCACACAAAAAAGCCAATGTGTCCAACAGAAAATACAAAGGTATTCCTGGCTTCCTAGATGCAAGTTTGGACAAAGACATTTCACAATGCTTGACTCAAGCTCTCAGATGCTCTCACTCCCTGAAGACACTGACTAGGGTGTCTTTCTCAGGGGAGCAACAGCCTTCGCATACAGTATTCCTCTTGAGGCGTCCTGGGCGAGATGCCAGCCTGATGCTGCAAGAAGAGGCAGAATGTTGTCCTTGAGGAAGTAGCACAGGTCATATTTTATACTTGTGGGAGTCTCCCAAAAAAAGGCTCATACAAGTGGGGGCAGCTCGGCACAGTGGACAGTGAGGAGAGCTTCTGGATGTCACATCAGGTAGTACCACTTACAGATATATCATGTACAAAAGTGCCAGGCTCCCTAATTCCAGCTACCCCCATAGAGAGGGAGCACCCAGACACTGTATGATGAACTTTCAGCATAGATGTGAGCCTGGGTGAGGGATCAGAGTCCAGAGCCATGGACATCCCAGTGGTAGTCAGTAGAGTGAGCTCTTTGAAATAGTTGCTGCATCTTATTAGCTGAAAGGTCTTTGGGATGACCTTTGCACTCTGAGCTACAAAACAGGGGTGTCAAGTCTTTTTCTACTTGTGTATTAACCTGTGTTCAAGGATCAGATTCTGTAAAGGTGACAATGTTTTTCACAGTTTGAAGGACAAAATAAAAATGAGGATTTGAATTACAGAGTCCCATTTTGTTCTGATTGGGTTACCTGAATATTCCATGTTTCAAAATAAAATGCAAGTAATTTGTATATTTATCTCAGGAATAAAATCTTATTTAAACAGGTATCAATGAAGGAGTCCTAGAAGTTTCGCCATTTGTTCCCTAATTAAATGTGCCACATACGCCTGGAATATTATGAAGATGCTTTAAAACACAGTTCCTAATCTAATTAGATTAGGGGCTTAACTTTCAATTTACACTGAATGGTGGGGACTCAGTAGGGATGATGTTTATACTATTAGTAAACTGTTGTGTTTTATTTAGAAAATCAAACATTAACAGCAACAGTCATATCCACGGATAATAAAAATGACAAATTATTCCAGCTAATGTTACTAGGACCCAGTGTCAAGACATTTTGTTTGCCACCAAATATGAAATATCTTATTTTATTAGCACTAGAGCCACATGAAGTAGATGTTATGATTGCCTCAACCTATACAGATAAATAAAATAAGGCTCAGGAAATGATTTTCATAAGGTCATTAGTAAGTGAGACACTGAAGACATAAATACGTTTGCCTTGGTTGAAAGGGAGGGCCCCTGAACATAAAACTAGCTGATTCTTATTCAGCCACAATAGGTAGATGAGTTCTGATACAGCCAGAAAGAGGTCATGGGTGAATTTGACACTGAGTGGACATCACTTGGCAAGAACAGTCATCTGTTAGCCAAGATCTGAAGCCATGTAAATCATGCGGCTTTCAATTAAATCCGTATCTTTACAACTTTTGAGAAAGGGTGGGGCTCGGGGTACTGGTTCATCTGTAAGGCTAACATCTATCAATGGATAGTGAATGTCAGGAGGACTCTGTTGAGAACTTTTGGCACTGAACTTATGTGAGCTCAATAAAAATAACATAATGATGTATTATTGGTGTCTGCTTTAAACATTAGATTTGGGCTGTTATTATTGCTTTATATGCCAAATATCTATAATGCTGAACTAGTTACTATAATAAAAATATTGAAACGGGTTACTGTCCCTTAATGGTGGCAGAATCATAGATACAAAGGAGAGGATTGACTTTCCCTCTGGATGAGAAGAGAGAAGCTTTGAATAAGGAGCCTCAAAAGTCTAAACTTATCAACATTTATGATATGCTTTGATTAAACTTTAAATCATTAAAATTTCCTTTTACATACATGTAATACCTATGAGTTTCTAATGAGGATCTACTTATAAGATGGTATCATCAGCACAATAGGAAATGGAGTTGAAATATGGCCTGAGAGAATGTCAGATTATATTTTTTTACATTTTAACTGATATTTTCCTAGCCAAAAATATCCCCCTTTAATTTATTTGCCTTTACTTGTGTACTTCCCAAAAATTCAGCATAGTTTCCTTACTCCAGTTGCCAAGATCCACTCAAATCCTCAGGGTTTTCTTTTCTTCTTCCAGTCTCATCTCTTCTTGGCCCTCTGACCACCCCCAGATGCCCACTCATTCTAGATCAGGTGATTTATGGTCTAAACTGTCAACCTCTTCCTTCTTATTCTTTATTAAGATTTTATTTTTCCTTTTTCTCCCAAAGCCCCCCAGTACATAGTTGTGTATTTTTAGTTGTGGGTCTTCCTAGTTGTGGCATGTGAGACACCACCTCAGCATGGCTTGATGAGCAGTGCCATGTCCGTGCAGAGGATTCAAACTGGTAAAACCTGGGGGCTGCTGAAGCAGAGCACGCGAACTTAATCACTCGGCCCCAGGGCCGGCCCCCTCTTCGTTCTTGTTCTTGAAGAACATACACATATCTTTTTTATTATAGAGTCTGACTGTTTTACACTACAAGGAATCAGACAGGAAGAAATTTTTTTTAAAAAAATGAATATTTTACTAACTATATAAAATTATTTCCTTAATTTTCTGGGGTCTATACCCTTTAAATAACTCTGCAACTTTGAATAGAAGAGTCTTTTCACTTCTTAACTTATAATTACTCCCTACTTCTATATTTACATTAGCAAAAGCACTATTGCTCAAAGTAAAATTTGGAAATAAGGTGACAGACCAGTTATCTGAGACAAATCTCTCTCTAAACCTTGCCTTTGTCTGCCTGTAACTCTGGTATGATAGCATCTACCTTACAGAGTTGTTTTGAAGTTTGAGTGAGAATACTCGTAAAGCATTTAGTGTGGGCTTATGTAGACATTATCTTCTTTGATTGATCTTTTGCTGGCCTAAAGAGTCAGTCATATAAACCAGAAAAATAGCTATGTACATGTCTGAATTGGAGAAAAATATACATTCTGAAGGCCATCTCAATTAGTGCATTCCCAATTGCTTAGGCCTCTGGCTTCCTGTGGTAAGTTTTGAATTTTAATAATAAAATAAAATTTGGTTGAATGTGTTGAGGAATGTTGGAGAAATTTTAGTTGGACAGATAAATCCTGTACTACCTGCAAAATAAATGATAAATTTGATAAATCTCAGAAGGAATGGTAGAGCACATCCTCGAGTACAACACTGGCATACTGTGTTTCTGTGTACTTCCCATCAAATTTGTCCTTGTTCAGAGTAATGTCAATCACCCATGAACGTGTTGTAAACAATCCAGAAGAATACACCACGGTCAGCATTTGACTTAAAAGCTAATGAGTATGAATAAGAAGCAAAATATCAGGGATAAAAGCTAAATCCCATTCAAAACAGAAACATCACAGAATATTTAAACTTTACATAAGTTGTTTATTTTATTTCATGCTCTTTGGATGTATTTGTGAAATACTGTTGTTAGATTTTAGAAGTTTTAGCCTTCTGTATTAGCTGAGTGAGGAAAATTAGCATTCTATTCTAATAAAATATTCCATCTCCAAAGTAAGCTTTAAAATGGGATATTTTATTAAAATAAATCATATTGTGCTTTAGATTAGAAAATACTAAAGATGAGACTTATTTTGACTAGGTTTATGTTTATACCATTTATGGTACATTTCCATCATATACAAACTAATCAGAGATGCACAGTACTCTCATCATTAAATTCCAACAATCATAAACATTATATTTTCTCTAGGCTCAGATTTTCTTTTCTGTGAAAAATTTACATAAGTTTA